ACATTACCATCAGCAAATACCAATGTCTCCTCCAAAAACCCTGCTCTCCACCAAAGGCAGCAGAGCTGTGGCCTCAACTCCGTCTGTGACAAGGCTGACAGCCGCCTTGTAGCTGAAGTGGCAAGTTCAGATGTAGAAGAGGAGCATGTGGCATGGGAGTTAGCTGTGGCACAACACATGGAGACAGGAGCAAGCTGGTGAGTGACAGCCAGGGGAGGTGAGCTAATGCCTACAGGGCATCTTAATCCCTCCGTCAACTTTGCTTGGTGAACTTGAATTGAAACATGGATATTTCTACTAAAGGTGATGCAGATGTACCCTATATGTTCTCAGGCTCATCTACAAGCAGTCTGCTTGCATGGCTTCCTATTTGTTTCCATTAGTGGGCAAAAAAGTAATTGGAAGAGTACATAGAAGCTTACCTTCAAAGCTGACTGTCACAGCTGCTTGGCCTTTAGTTTGTGACCTCGCTAGGCCACATACTCCATTTTGATCTTCTAAAACTCCTGTAGGAATCATTCCCATAAATTGTACCGACAAGCTCCTGGCAGGATGAATTCAGTCCTTCATCTGCACATTTCCTCTAATTTTCTACTCTCCATTCCCCTGATTTGGAGATCAATCATCTCCCTCCATTCACACTGCTCCTGACATTACAGATGCTACGAAAAATCAGAATAAGCACATGTACTTAGCGTCTTCCTCCTAGTCTCTATATCTCGATGATAACATATCTATTCACCCTCTCTTCCTATTCCAGAGTTCTTTTTGTGATTTAGGATGCTTCCCAAGTTTTTCCAAATAATATAGATTCCTGTGGCTCAAATGAGAAACAAACAGGAAGATAGGCAGGGGTGCTGTTTACCAAGATATTTTCTGTATTGGTTTTGCATGGCCAGGTTTTGGTAGACAGGGGGCTATATGGGTGGCTTCTGCAAGAAGCTGCTAAAAGCTTCCCCCATGTCCAACAGAACTAATGCCACCTGGCTCCAAAATGGACCTGCAGTTGGCCAAGGCAGAGCCAATCAGTGACAGCAGTAGTGCACCTGGGGCAAGAATTAATCATGGAATCATAGAATGGTTTGGGTTAGAAGGGACACTTTTCAATGGAGTTTTCATTAGTGACCCCACATTTGAGTCATTCTGACCCAGAGAAATGTCCTGTTCTCCGATGAAATCTTAAAAATTACATTCCAGTTTAACAGAGAGTCCTGTCTCTTAAATAACTAAAATACTTTTTAGTTGGCCCAGAAATTTCATTTAAGGATTAGTGAACCCTGTTTTGCCTATCATGAGTAATTTACCTCAATTTTGTCCACTCAGAAGTGGTTTTATCTTAACAGAAATGAAAGCAAAGAATTTCACTTTGGTCACTTAAGAGAATCTATTCAGTGAGTAATCTTGGCTCGAGCAGTGACGCAGTACTGAGGATTTTAAATCCAAACTAAGCCCTGCCCTTTCTTCTTATTATCATTTTCAGCTTATACCTTCAGCTCAGGAAAAGTTTCATGAATATGCTACTAATATTTGTAATTGCATTAGTATTCTAATATTCCATAATTTCAAATGGAAATACATCGAACCATTTTGCAATATTTTGTAAGCTTTATTTCATTACGTAGGAAGATTCACTTATTAAGGAGGTTGTGGCACCTGTATCGGTGCCATTATGTTTGAGAAACATATTTCTTCATCCCTGGTTTATATTTATGTTCTTCTCCTTAACTTTTTCTTTTCTTTTTAAATAATGGTTGCTTGCAAGACTGTGCAAAGCAGGCTTAGTGACAAGATTATGCTGAATGTTTTGCATGAAATATTTTGCTGAAGAATCTCTGATTCCTTCCTGCATTCAGAGCAATTTACAGGAGTTTCTGTAGCTGTGATGAGGAGTGGCTCACTTTTGTGGGGGTTTGGCTATATGAAAAATCAGCTGCTATATCAACCCTTCAGAAAGGATTGGGGTAATATGCCACACTAATGCAAAGTAGCAGATGTGAACCTTTTGAGAATTTAAAAATATGGCATTATCTTCTCTGCCCAAACTACTTCTGTACTCAGAGTAACTGAGCAGTTATTTCTCAACTGAACATTTCAGATAAGAAGCAAAAATGTAAGAACCACATCTGTGAGAGAAACCATAACAATATACAAATATTGAATAAAAATACATGTTATGTTTTAGTAACTTAACATTTTATAAAATTAAATTATAATAAATCTAGTAATTTTTCCATGTGAAAATTAAAAAGTCTCCCACTAAAATGCTTTCTAAAAATGATGTCATTATTAATAATAATAATAATAATAATTTTGAAAAGATAGAGTCAAAGAAATGGTAGTGAGCAACCAAAAAAGCTGAATGAGAAGCAAATACATCCTTTTCCGAAGATATTTTAATAAATATCATGGAAACTTTGTTTTGTGCTTTGCACTGATTGTGTTGTAGCCGCAGTCATTCTTTTCAAGTCATTAGTTTCATTAAACTAACTCTACTTAGGATCAGCTCCATAAGTACAGTAACATCATATAGTTTACAAAGATCTGGAACCTTTTTCTAAAGCACGAAACACATATTTTAAAAAAAAATTAGTTCATTGAATGGTAGCTTTTCAAGGAGCTAACTTTTAAATGGTTTTAGTCAGTGGTAAGAGATGGAAAGACTGTCCCCTTGTGGATAGGAATATGAGGAAAAGTGATACTGTAACTCGCTGATAGCAGCAGCAGTAACCCCAGGCATTTGGAGTCTTCATTAAGAAATTGGCTAGAATCCTGCCTTGCACATTGTTCATAAATCAACACTCAGAAGTACAAAATGCTATGAAAAGCCTTTTAATTTAAATTGGTTGGCCTGACAAACAGCAGAGGGTAAAGACTGAGCTAATGTAGCATCCTTGTTAACACTATCATTCCAGGCTAATACCTAAATCTAACTACTGCAGGCAGCTGCAGCGTGGCCTGCGTTTAAGAAAGCTTTTTTGAGAAGAACAGCTTCAGAGCAGACAATGGGAGAAAGCTCCACAATAAAGACAAACCCTTATGGTTATATCTATAAACCAGTGTGCTACCCACACACATGCATCTGTCAAAACCTGTGCTACAGCATCCATCTACAGGGCAAAGCACCATTGTCCTCACTTCTGAGTTGCACTGACTGAGGGACCGGAGGAGGATTGGTGCACAGCCAGTTGAAAACCCTCTCCCCTGCCTGCAGATGTTAGATTATCTGTCAGCGCTACAGATTCCCCACACACATTGTCATATCTGACCCACGAGAACTACCAGAACATGCCAGCACCCCATCATCTCTCAGGTCTGGGTTAATCAAGGGCAGCTTCAAATTTCTGCACAGGGAAGCAGAACTTCACGGGGCTTCCGAGAACTTAATTGGGCTGCTGAGATAGAGGGGGATGTTTCTTATAGGAAGTGTTCTGTTTTATGAAGTCCAGTCCTTCCCTAATGCAGGCAGTTACAGCCACCCTAACATGTTATCTTGTTTTGCCTTTATTAAGAATTCTCTTCCAATTACTTCAATTGCAAGAATTTTTTGAAATATCATTAGAAACCTCACAAATTTTAGCTTGGCCATATTGACAATCAGTGTATATCTATTCACTATATTATCCTTTTGTTTAAGCAGCTTTTTTTAACACCCTATAATCCTTGGCAGAGAGTAATCATATTTCCTCTTAGCCTTTGCTTTGTCCAAATAAGCAAGGCACATGACTGCAACTTTATTGTACAGGCCAGGCTCCCCAAATGCCTTCATAATGTGTTGTGTCACCTGAAAGCGTACTGTGGGCTCAACTTCTTCCACCAGCAGTCACTCAAGAGTGTACTCAGTCTCATCAGTACAAAATCTTACTCTGTTCCTAATGGAAACACTTTGACTGATGTCTCCTTTGTTAATATTGGTTCTTTACACAGTCACATCTCAGAGGTCACTCCTTAAAAGCCTAGCTAACTCAGTAGCTGATTTTATCTGTCATTTCCTACTGATTGTAGCAGAAATTCTCATTCTTCCAGCAATGATTGAGAAACGGGTTGCTGACACCCTTTGAAGACTTTCTACCAAAAAAGTCCTGAAGGTTTGTGGCTAACCAGTCCGATACTGGAAAGCTGAGGTGCAGGTTGGTGTACAGGGTGAAGGGAAGATAGGCCTGAAATAATATTTGGCCTTTGATAGGAGAACATTTGTGGAGTCACCATCCCTGGAAGTGTTCCAGAGCCATCTGCATCTGGCACTGGGTGATATGGTTTAGGGGTTACAGTGGTAGTGCTGGATTGACAGATTTGGTCTTAAAAGTCTCTTCCAACCTTGATGATTATATGATTATACGATCATGAATTCTGCTAGGTGGAGCTCACTGAGTCACAAATTGTCTTCCACAAAAAGCGAGTATGTCACATCTACTACTCTGTGACACACGAACAGACCAAGGAGTTACTCAAAAGGTCGAGGATGACAATATAAAAACCCATGGTGAGTCACTGCAGGCCTAGATAGACACAAATATTTGCAAACTTATATTAGTACTTGTCATTCAGATATATCCCATTCCTAAATTCATGGCACTGGGTGAGTTCCATGTGCACACTGACAAGTGGCCAAGGGCATTATAATTTGGACAATGTGGGATTCTGGTAAAAACATCCACACATACGTGCAGCAAGTCTCCACTGTGGGTACAGATTTTTTATTTTTTGGTTTTTGGGATGTTACAGGTCGCTTTGACTGTCAGATGAGAACAAACTAAAAGTGAAAAAGAGGAAATTCTTAAAACCTGTTTCCTCTATCTCTGTCTTTAACGCTAGGAATCAATGAGAGACCAAACTGTTTATTTCTGTACTTCATGGGGGAAGCGTCATGGGGGTTGTGAAAGTTCCCTCTTTCCTTCCCGGTGACGAAACTTCATGGCAAAAACAAAAAAAAAAAAAAGCTCGTTTTTGCATAATTTCATAACCTTAGTTCGGGGCAGCGTCTGAGGCGCAGCCTGAGGAGCCTCCCTGCCCTCTCCCGCCCCGTCCCGCCCCGTCCTGTCCCCCCCCGGCACGGCCCGGCCCGGCCGGCACTGGGCGCCCGCCATGGCGGGGCCGAGGAAGGGGCCGGGCGCTGCGGAGGAGCCGCCGCCGCTGCTGGTGAAAATCGTGATGGCCGGAGAGTCCTGCGTGGGGAAGACCTCCATCGTGCGGCGGTACACGGAGCCCGATTCGCCGCCCGCCGGCACTCCCGCCACCTCCTACTTGGCCACGATCGGTGAGTGACCGCTCGGTGTGCCTCCGCCCGCCACGCTCCCTCGCCTTGCTCTCTCCTCCCCGGGTGCCCGCGGCTCACACACGGCCGGACCGGCGCTGTCAGCGCGGCGCTGCCGGTCTGGGAGATGTCAAATCTCCCTCTGCTGAGCTCTGCGCGTGTCCAGCCGCGTCCAGCAACTTAAACCTTTGCCAGCGTGTCAGGACATGTGTCACGCAGAGCCACTGCAGAGTGCTGGCCTGTTACACTGGCCTTGCTGTTCATCCGGGCTTTGGGAACCTACTCCCATTTTAAATTTACGAAGACAACTTGTTCTTACCGTTTCTATTGCCCACGGAGGCGCTGCTGCTGTACAGTGGTGTGGGTGCATAGAAAGCCGTACAGAATCACAGAATCAATTAGGTTGGAAAAGACACTCTGAGATCATCAAACCCAACCTGTGACTGAACACCGCCATGTCAACTAGTCCATGGCATTAAGTGCCATGTCCAGTCTTCCCTTAAACACTTCCAGGGATGATGACTCCACCACCTCCCTGAGCAGTCTATTGCAATGTCTAATCACCCTTTCTGTCCAATCTAAACCTTCCCTGGCACAGCTTAAGGCTATATCCTCTTGTCCTATCACTTGTTGCCTGGGAGAAGAGGCCGACCCTGACCTGGCTACAATCCTCCTTTCAGATACCAACCTCAAAGAAATGTCAGATGCCAGTAAAATGCCCAGTTCCTCAATCTTTCAGGCTAAAAAGGGATTTAATTTTCACTAATAATTTTAATGGTATAAAGTCAAAATACGTATTACTGTAGGTAGCTGCATGCATGATGATTAAAGAAGAGTCATTGATATGATGGAACTAATTAGGCCTTGCCAGACCATGTCCATTCTGTGCTGTACCACCATGCTGCCTCCCCCAGCACCACTGCAGATGGGTGATGATGGGGAACTTCCCACTGCCTTGGTGTCCCAGCCCCATAAGCTGACTGTCCACATGCTGAAACCTGTGTCATCAGTAGGCAAACGTGTTATGTGTGTGCAATGATTTGATTTGCTGTGGAGATTTTCCCAATTTTTGCCTGGGAAATTTTCATTTATAAAAGTTTGTGTGTATGAGTTTGTTTTTTTTTTCATTTTCTTTGCTCTTGAAGAGAAGACTAAAGTATGCCAGGAAATTGTGTATTCCTGCATTTGGAATATGCGTGGCTCTTTTAAAGATTTTTCAGTCTGGGAGGAGTTGGTTTATCTGAATTAAATAACAGATAGTAGCTGTGGCAGTAGTTGGTCCAGGAAATACTTAATGTACGTGAGATGACTTGACCTGCCCGCATGAGAACAGCTGAACTTAAACCACTTTTTATTTTCTTGCCCATTCTTGCAAAACAGTCTCTGAAACCATCATGAACAAGGAGGGAAGAACAGAACTAACAATGAAGTTGGGAAATAGATCCTAATAACAGGCAACTTGTTGCCAGGTTTAGCAAGGAACTCCAAAGAATGGCCATGAAAATAAACATCAGCTTTGTTGATGTGTTTTATACTGGGACAGAGATTCCTGACCGTGAGGTTATTATTTTGAGATACAATTTCTTTTACTCCTAATTCAGTTCCCTGCAGACTCAAAACCTTTTCTAAAGTGATGATATTAAGAATATGGTTTCCAAGTTTAACTTAAACTATTTGAAGGAATGGTGAAGATAATATGAGGTTTTGTGACAATTATGGACTGAGATTAGCTTTGTTAGTTTTATTACTGACACCTACTATTCAGAGATTTAAAAACTGTTTATGAAAATGAATCATCCAGATGTGGGTTTTGTTACCTGAATATGTGAAGTTATTTCTGAAATACTCTATTCCATTTAATTCCATTTTAACAGGTGTATTAGAGCTTAGACTTTTAAAGCAATTGGGATTGTGAGTGATGTCTTCCAAAAGAATAATATCGGAAGTGAAAGTTTCTTTTTTCATGTAGACAGCTACAATGGAGAGGAAGCCCTATAGGTTGTGGCTCCTAATGTTGTAAAGGAAGAAGACACAATACAATGTTTTCTCAGTTCCTGAGGTCTTCTCCCTCATTGTTGATGCTGTCGAAACAAGTAACTGTTTTTATCTGGCTGCCTGTTTCATACAAGCTCAGCCAAATGATCCCTTTCTGTTGTGCAGCCTATTAAATGCTCATCTGCTGTTAACTGATTTTTCACCTTACCTGTGCAGGTGAAACGTGATTTGAGTAGAGGGGAGATTATCCCAGCTGTGCAGTGTTGCAGCCTTCTGAGTTCCCTGACAAATTCATGTGCCCCCACCTTCCTTAGTGGCAAAGGGTCATATGCACAGAAGTTAAAAGGTTGTTGAAAGTCTCATTTCTGTGTCATCATTAATCAGAGATTTGTGTTACTAGGAAAAATTCTGGTGTTATTGCAGGGGAAAAAAACAACCAAATGTTTTATAATAGGACTCAGTAGTAGCGATCTTTTCTCAAATTAGGTATTTCACGAGAAAAGGCAAAAAATGCATTCACAGTAAATTTTCATTGAAAACTTTTAATGCATCACTTAAACACTCAAGGCCGGGTGCCCTTCCTCCTCTTCAATTACATAGTTTGGATAAATTATAAGCACTTATAGTTTTCTAATTAAACTTGTATGCATCATAAGGCGGATGCATTGTATTATGAATAGACTATAAAGAATAAATGTTTTTGTTTAAACAACGGCATTGCATATAAAGCCATAGAGAAACTTTATGAACAAAAAAACCCCTTCTCTACCAGTGAACAGAATTGTGATCTCATGGACTGTGAGGTTATTTTTCTGTATTAATGGTTGCTGTGGTCCTGCAGCCCACATGTTTTCTTTGAGAAACATTTCTGCAGAGCTCTGAGTCCTCTCAGATCTGTCACAGTTGAAAATGGTACAACTTCAGCATTAGGATTAAAAAGTCTGTGTAGATGCCCTGATACTTACTTTAGAAGGAAATAAAGTAGAGCTAATCAGCAAAAATGAACCATAGTGAAGGTATGTGTTAACACCATCGGTAGCAATCCACATCTTAATTACTTTTTCTTTTTTTTTTTAACAAAACTGAATTTTTTGTCACTGTTACTTTTCTGTCCAAGTATCTTATCCTATGAGTTGCTTTTCTTAGCAAACCAGCAATTATCATTACTTGAGACCACTCAGATACCACACCACTTCAGATATTTCTTGACATATACAGGAAAACAGCCTGATACAAGTAGTACACCAACAACTAGTAGGGGTTAAGTATGGGTAGAAGTAACACAGTGGAAATTCAACCCACAACATCTCACTGGGTGCTTGCTCAGTTTGGGCACAGGAGCTGATAGCAACTGTTTCCCTGTTTCTGGAGTTGAAGACAATGTAAGTGGGCATTCACCATCCTCTGCCCATGTTCTTGCTGTTGCATCCTGCTAAGCTGCTCAAACTTGCATTTTCTCTGGATAGACGTATTTTTTGAGCATTTTCTGTCAGGAACTCACCAGCTCTGTTGGAGTGAAAAGTGTGTTGTCATTTCTAGGCCAACTGCAAAAGACCTCTTTGAAGAGGACTTTTGCAGATGGCCAAAGACTATTTTATAGATACTGAGGGAAGAGAGGGGCATTTCACAGCTGAATTACCCTGAATTACTGACTATTTCTGTGTGTTTTAGACCTAATTGTCTATAAGGTACATCAGTCCTAATATGTGAATATTTGATCTTTGGAATACAAAGAAAAGAAATTTATTTCATGGCTATAAAACTTGGAAATAACAACTAGAATTTGAACTTCCACCCAGCATACCCCCTCTTGGTTTCATTTGACAACCTAAAAGAACCAAGTACAAGCTGTTGCATTCCAATAACATTTATCTCCAGAGCTGTAATCAATGCTCGCTTTGTTATGTTGATCATGTTGTACAACACTTAGGCCTAAAAGCATCTGAAATCTGTGAGCTGTCTTTGGCATTGTGGTTCTCATTTTTCTTTTCTGTCTTTGCAATTTGCTAAGTTTGCTGGAAATTTCATATAAAGACATGAACAATTCATGCATGCAGAACATATTGACTTCTGTTTTTCACTAACATTCATTGACCTTTTAGGTCAATAAATTTTGAAGTTGACTTAAGAAGTCAATACCCCTGATTTTAATTTAGATTAAGTTTTAGTCTGATTCAGCATTCTGCTTCCCTTTTTATAAATAAATAAAAAAAAAAGCTTATAGCACTTATTATTAATATGTATGTCAGCTAAGAACTTTCTCATATAGGTCTGGGAATCCCTGTCTGGTTTACAATTTTTTGCTCTATTCCCAATCCACCATTTGAAAGCGATGTTTCAGCCTCCCAGTGTGTACCCTGTCCCTCTCAACATCAATTGTAGAAAATGATACAGATAATTAAACAAAACCGTGTGAATTTCAGGAGCAAATGTTTTCCATCACGTTGGAATTTCACCTTACATGAGCAAATTTGACTTAAATTACATTTCCATCTGACATTATTAATTCCATCAAGGAAGCTTTGTGTAATACTAATTACAGATACCAATTATACTATTTCATCTTTCCTTTCCATTGAAGCTTCAATGAAAATTCATCAAGTGAAGGACATGATTATCATAATAATTTTTTAAATCTACCTCAACTCTCATATCAGATACACACAAAAAATGTTAATGGCATTGGAATCATGCATGTGAGAGTGTACTTGTCAAAATTTTGTGCACAATACATCTGTCAGTACAAAGGAGGGGAACATTTCCTCTGTTGCATTTTTTAGTTTGCTGACATGGATACTTTGCTTTGATAAATTAATTTGGCAGTCAGGTTCTTACAGAAATCAGTACAGTGGTATTAACTTAAAATTTTTGTGATTTTTCAAACTGTCTAGGTCTTTCAAATGACATTACTACAGGTGAAAAGGCACTCTGATGTAATTTTAAGTAGCTGTAGTTTGATCTTATGGAATTTTGACTATACGGTATGGTCAGCTGTTGCAATGCCACCTTAACTTCACTTAATATAATTGACAAAAAAACCTTTGTTGTTTTTCAGTGGGGAAAAAAGCTATCAGAGAAATTATCAAATGTTATTTCAAACTTCAGCAATAAAGTAATAGGAAAACAATGGTTAACTCTGAGAAAAGTGCCACTCTAAGATAGCAGCTGATAGCTGGCTGATTGAGTATTGAAACTAGAACTTTAGCAGCCCATAAATGCAGGTATAGTCTACTACATTTGGAGTACTAAAATGATAATATAATGAAGGAAAACACCATAAATTATAAGGAAAATAACTTTGAGGAAAGATCTGTAGTGTATGTAGAGACAACATTCTGCACTGGTTTCAGATATTAATGCTTGCTTTTAGAATTCTGGATCTGTGATACACTGTGATTTAGGCTGTAGAGACAATCCTCTTCATATTGAATTTAATCCCGTGTAAGTTTTGTGTTTGCGTGTAATTAGTACAGCCAGCTCCTATTCCTGTTCATGTAACTCTGGATACTTTTTTTAGGGATTTGGAAATAAGGACAGAAAAATGGTGTGGCACGTGTAATGGCTTTGTAAGCATGTCTGCCTTCCCATTCATAGCTGCCATGCTGTTGAAAATCACCAAGGTATTTGCACAACGTATTATTGTGCATGGGCCGTGAAACTGCTGTCATGTCACTTGCCTGTCCATGGAAATACCTACTTGTAGTTTTAGAGTATCTGCACCTTTGCTTTGGCCTGCCCCTTCATTGCTTGGTATTGGCATTGCTTTGTATTGTATTTGTGCAATGTATTGGCACATAACTGCTTCGATCATTGCATAATTTCCTTCTACAACTTCCATTTTGAATGTATATGGTTGGCTAGTTATTCTTTGTTTGGTATTGTTACTTTTCACTTTCTGTTCAAAATTGGACCATAACTAGAGCTAAGAAACACTGTTCAAAGGGAATCCATGTTAGTATGAGAAATGTTACAGATTTTCCTTTTTTTCTTTTAGGCATTGATTTTAAAGTAAAGCTAGTAATGATTAATGACACAAGAGTGAAACTTCAAATATGGTAAGTTTTAATTTGTATCACAAATGAAAGCCAACTAAATTGCATTATGACCTGAAAAATCTCATCTGCTTTTGATCATGTGTCTTCCTGACGTGCAGGCGTTCCTACTAGGTCATTTTAAAATTTGAGTTTAGCCTAGAGGAGCACATTTTTTGCAGCAACTAATGTAAATTTAAAATAGGGTTATCCCTGGGTTGCTTTAACAGTAAAACTTGCAGCATACAAACAGTGCAGATCTATGATCCATATTAAGTATATTTAATTGTATAGGAACATCGAGGGAAGTGACAAAGCAAAAACATTTTACAGTTCATTACCCATCAAATGCATGTTCAAAAGCATCACCAAGAGAAAGGCACTAAGAGGAGTCTGTGAACATACACTATTTTTTGGTTTGGAGGTTTTACTGAAGAGTATGTCTGGAGTACTGGAGTACTGTCTCTCCAGGCATCCAGTACTGAATGTTATTTATGCTTACCGGTATTTAACTTCTCAAGGAATAAATCTGTACATGAATTACCTGACCATTATTAGATCCACAGTTATTCTGCCTCAAGATTTAATACAAAAGTATCGGAGGCTTGTTTACAGCTTTCTTAAGGCATAATTATGTGTAGGAGTCACTGCATCCCTGCATTTTGTAGACTTTTTCCTGAAACCTGTCTTCCATCTAAACCAGCTTACTGTTTGTGTCAGAGTTTACATAGGGCTTGTCAGAATATGGGGATGTCACCTGACTCCTGCAATGCTTGTACTACAGATTTTTTTTATCATCTGGGTTGTACTGATCATAATTATTATGTATATAAAGAAGCAACGGGGGACTTGACATTACACTCAGACTTCAGCCACTGGTTTGGCTTCCTTAGTAGGGCTGTATTATTCAGAATAAATTTCCAGTGTATTTCTTTTAATGCTGTGTCTCTCATCTGTGTCTTTTCTTGTTCCTTTCACATTAGAGTATATAATTCAAAATTTGGACAATACTCCTTAAAATAAAGTGATTTTTCTTGGAGGTTCTGCAATTTCATCACCTTTTGTTTGTTTGTGTGTGTGTGTGTGTGATTTATTGCAATTTCTTTCAGGGATACTGCTGGCCAGGAACGATTCCATACACTTAGTACTAGCTATTTCCGTGGTGCACAAGGCTTTGTTCTTGTATATGACATCACAAATCTGAAGAGTTTTCAGAGTATAACAATGTGGATGCAAGACATATATGAGGTAAATGTGTCTGTCAGTGGTTGATCTCCTAATGAAAGTAATTAATGTGTTGTTTTAAATGACTGCATGAGATCTATTCTTGTTTCTGTGTTTATAACCAGAATTTCTTGCATTTAACTAAGCACACAGTATGACAGTAGAATTACTGTCATCTGAAACTGGAACAGAATGTATATTATCCAGGACAAGCCCATGGTGATGCAGGAATGTTTTCTGAAGTACTTGTAAAACATAGCTTCCAATTCAGGTTTGTGCATGCTGAGTTATGATGCTTTTGTCACTGGTGTGGCTACACATAAGTCAATCTCCATGAGCTCATCCTAGGATTTTAATTGGTTTCTGTATGAAAATTCCATATCACAGCCAATTATTTCCCTTTTCTATTTTCATTACTTTAGTGTAATTACCTCATCCCAAGATCAAAGGAATTAAACATCCTCTTTGTCCTTGCTGGATATTCCTTGAGAGGATGGTTTCAAGAGGGAGGAATTGGAGTGGGAAGCTGTTTGCTTAGCTCAGCTGCTTGTAGTGCTGCAGCCAGAAACACGTGCTTTCATGTAAAATAGGAAGTGATTCAACAGCACATGGCTGCCAGACAGGGAGTGTGTTCCCACCTCCCTGCTCCTAAACATTGGCTCCCACTGTGCTGCTTTTGGAGCTTGTCAAGAGTCCTCTGTGGTTCACTCTGACTTTCTAATGCAATAGAAAACTAGCAGAGCAAAAAAAGTTGGATGGTTTTTCTGCTCCATCAGTGAGTTTAAGAGGCTAGTAGAATGGTCTGACACTTATTGGAGTTGGTGCAAGGTAAATAGGTAGGAGCAGGAAGGCAAAGAGAGAAGAATGTATGGGAACAATGTGAAGGGAGGAACCAGGGAGGGAGGAGTGGGCAAGCCCTTAGACATAAGATCGTTCAGCTGCCTGTAACCCTGTATTCCAAGTCTTTATTGCTAAGTCTCTCTTGTTGTGTTCTCTGTTAGATGAGGCAGGTCAGTTTTAGAATAGTTCACCTGTAAGGGACCCTTAGTGACCATCCAGCTGCCTGACCACTTCAAGGCTGACCAAAAGTTAAAGCATGTTATTGAGGGCATTGTCCAAATGCCTCTTTACTTGGCTTGGGGAGTCAACCATCTCCCTAGGAAGCCTGTTCCAATGTTTGACCACCCTCTCAGTAAAGAAATGCTTCCTAACGTCCAGTCTGAATCTCCCAGGCACAACTTTGAGCCATTCCTACATGTCCTGTCTCTCGATGCCAGGGAGGAGAGATCAGCACCATTCCCTTTACTTCCCCTCCTCAGGGGGCTGTAGAGAGCAATGAGATTGCCCCTAAGCAGTAGCATGGCAGTCTGTAGTTAGCACAGTTGTGTAAGTTAGTATGCTTGTGTAAGAATCCAAGCAAGGTAGTGCTCTTTGTTGATTAAAATCAAGTAAACATTCAGGCAGTTTTTTTAATGCTCTTATGATTTGGTGGGAATATGACATGATGGAGAGTTAATCTTCGGAAAGTGGGCTTGAAGTAAAACCATCAAACGCATCATTTTCTCTCTTCACAGCTTCAGTATACAGCTGAATTAATGGACTACACGTGGTCATATATCCAATAATACATACATAGGGTATCTTATACTCTTGGTAAAACATTACATTTACATTATCTCATTATTAACAACATTACCATGGTGACCTAGTACATCATTATCCTTGACCTTAGAGCTGTCTTAAAAGTCCTAGTGGCAACAGAGCCTAATGCAGTAATGTGTTACTGAAGGAGATTCGATGACACAATATTCTTGCTGGTTTGTCTGCACACACTTCAAATTAAGACATCTGTTTTATTATTTTGTTAAGAAAAGCACATGCCCTTATGTATTATGGGCAAATAAAAGCCGCACCTATATATGCCACTGGTTGTACAGTTTCATGGTTAACAAAGATTTAACTCAGCACACAGTAGAATAGTATGTTTGCCGTAATCTGAAGCTGAAAATATAGATTATCCATATATATCCATTAATATCTATCTATTTATGCATGTATCTATATATCTGAGCGTACAAATTTCTCTATAAAATACTGGTCTTTATTCACACTGGCTCCAAAGGGGTCATTTTGTCCTGTCATCTTTAATTAGATCAACAGGGTGATTGGTTCAGTGGGCTACAATTCACAACAGCAAGAAAGTTTCAGGACTGTATGGCCAGGGTGGAGGGAAGTATGAGACTAGCACCTGTAGCCACCGTGCAGGCTGAGATCTGCTTAAGTCAGTCAGGAAATGACACCTGCAGAAACCTGCTTTCTGTTTGTGACACTTCAAAGCTTCCGTGTAAATGTAGTCAAGCTATTTAAACTGTTTAATCTTAACCCCTGAAGGTCCTTTGTTAGTTTAAAATTTAAAAAATCGAAAAATACTCAATCTAAACCAATTTTTAGGAATGTAAATTGCATGATTGATTGTACCAATCTCAAAACTAGCAATTAGTGTTGTAATAGAGCTAGATAATAATAAAAAATTTAATTTAGTCCTAGTGGGATATCAATTTCTGAAGCGTCTTGGTAGAAATATATGGAGCTATTCATTGCAAAAGAAGTGTTTTTAAGCAATAACTGTTCAAAACCAGGGCATTTCATGAAAATTAATTACTTCCTGGAGGTCGGTGACATTCCCTGCATTTGCTTTGGTCTGTGAATGCAAACCAGTATTTAATTCCCCACAAATGCCCAGAATCAAAGTGGCTATTGCTACAGCACCCTTTGAAATATGCAAGCATAGAAAAAATAAATGAGTTTTAAAAAGGAAAACAGATAGAATACAGACTTCATGAAATACCAGACTAACAGGTAGTGTAAAGCTTGCACCTGAACCAAACAGGAACTTTAGAGACAATTCAGTTATCACATTATACTCTCATGTTTTAATTCTTTACACATAAAATTTTTAAACAAAGTTTTTTAAAAATCTGTTCAATGTACTAAGCCATTTTTACAACAGTTGAAAATAACATTCTAAGCAATTTAACATTCTTAAGAAGTCCATTGATTTTATAAAAACTGGCCAGTCAGTGCAATTACAATCAGATTGCCAGTAATGTTCTTATTATATTTCAGTTATTTGAAATGTGGAATACAGCAAATTTCCTATTAAAAATGAATTACTGTTCAAGGAAGTTCAAGACAGAAATATGCTGCCATATCTGTATTGCTGTAAAATTTATATTCAGAACTAGAGGAAACTAAGTAACTTAAAAATCTTAGTAGAAAAATATACTCACCCGCAGATTAATATCTTAGGGCATTATTGACAAATACAGTACAGGTATATTGGATTTGTAATGCACTCATTAGGACCATGATAATTGCAGGAAAATTACTTTGAATTTGAAACCATTCTTTGTTCGTAGGATTGCAGGTTATGTGCAATTTATTAAAGAGTTCCTCTTGTCTTCTGACATGGCTTTTAGCTGTTGTATGTACCTGTTCTGAAAGGCTGATTCTGTTTAGCCTTTAAAAATTAAGTACAAGCAGCTGTGTACCAAATCCATTTGCAGAAAGCAGTTCTTTCTAGGAATTTTTGAACAAGATTCCAACTAACATTGGCAAAAACTTCCTCACAATAGGGTGGTCAAATGCTCAAACAGGTGCCCAAGAGAGGAACTCTTAAAGGACACACTTAAAATGCCCTTCAACAGGGCCTTGAGCAACCTGACCTGACTTTGAAGTTGGCCCATCTTCAAGCAGGGGATTAGACCAAATGACTTCCAGAAGTCCTTGCCAACCTAAATCACTAATGGAATACATTAGCTTTCTATTTTTCCCACCTGAAGAAGTGACCCCTTGACCAGTATATAAACTGTATGGGTGTGTTGTGTTGCTGATATTTTCGCATAGTGCCCTCTTTTGGTTCAATTTATCTGGTGCGTCTGGGAGACTGGACTGTCTTTCGGTGTTTCTGCATCACACTTAAATAAAAGCAGCACAGCAAATTGCTGTACAAATGTAAATTAGGTTGACTTCAAGTTCTTCTGAGTTTTTCTTCCTCAGGAGGGAAAGCTTGATGTCAAAAGATTTAATTGTTCCAGTTTGTAGATGGGTTTGTTGTTATGGCTCTGATTAGAACTTAAAATTCTTGTTCTTGTCATTTTACTAAATTAGTTTATCTGTAATCCCAGGTTTTGGGATAAATTGGTTTATATTTACTGCAGTCTAAGTTTGCTTGTAGGCAAACAAATTTTATTATTTGTTTATTTCCACTGAAGTCCTGGAAACCAGGCATTTGTAACTGAGGTCATAAGATGACACTTAGAAAAATATATAGAAAGAGACATGTATGGGAATCATAATATGAACATTGTCCATGTGATACTGTCAAAGAGACTGTGAGGGCAATCTGTTACTGATAAATAGCTCTTCAGTATTACAAAGGGTAAGTTTCTACTGTCATTGTCTAGTGAGTAGGAAGAGGAAACTTCCCAGCTTTAAGACCTTCTCCAGCCCTGCCTTCATCTTGCAGTTTGACCATGTGCATCTTTGTCAGATGTGAAAAATTATATTAATACTACATTTCTTCCTCATATACAAACTAATTGAGTATTCCCATAGTGTATTTATCACGTATGGGTTCTCGGTTTGACTATTTGGACTTGCAAACTTCTGTTCCCTTTTCAAGCTGTCATCAGTGAGTATCAAAATCATGCAGCCCTTCATGACTACACCCTGGAGTAGTGTGGTGGAGGGACAAGGTGGTGTTTCTGGAGGATGTATTGCTGGATAGGTTGGTTCATACAACAGGGAGACTGAAGGAGCTTGTAAACATCATGGTCAGTTTGCTGCAGGGGAGGTTGAGGCTGGCCATTCATGGTCGGGTCTGTGTTCACCATTTAAGAAGTGAAAGTATCGTTTCTTCCAATAACCTGTAAGTACAGATGTGGTGTAGTTCTCTTACAGTAAGGGTGTCTGCTGCTTTTCATACTCACATAAATTCAGAGCACTTCTGGAAAACAAGAACTGCAGAAAAAAAAGACCTAATATTTGAAAAGAAAAAAAAAAAACACCAAACAAATTACATACAAAGGGGATGAGCAAGATATTTTCCCTTTTGCATTTTTGATTTCTGTTAATAGCCATGTAGTCAGGCAGTGATTTGTGTATGTGCTCGGTTGAGTGCCCAGGCTGGGTGAACATTAAGCAGGAGGGTGAAGGGCATGGGTGGGTGTCCCCTGTCAGTAGGTCGCTAAAGAGGCCGTGGTGCTGTGGTGCAAATGTCCAGTGTTCCGAACCTAGTACGAGGCAGAGCTGGGTTTGAGGGCTCTGCCGCTGCTCCCTCCCGTGGCCACTGCTCGGAGCAGCCTGACTCCTGCTGCCACCAGATCTAGCTGCCTGGGAACCCAGCGAAAGAAAAGCCCTTTTGCCAAAACCTGGTGACTCCAAGCTTTGCCAAACACTTCAGAAAACTTGGTTAGTCTCAATAAATCTCTTGACTCCAATTTTTTGAGAAAAATATAGTGCTCATGTTTTACTTTTCAAGATAAAATAGTGTAGGTTTTCTACCTATAGTTCAGGTTATTTTATTTTAAGCTTCAATAAAATGTAAACTTTGAAATATTAAAACCTGAGGGAAAACTGAGAGAGTGAACCAAAAATCTGGCATTTTTGACATACCAAAGCAAAACTTTTTTTTAATCTTTACCAAAAAAAAATTTTTTTGCCTTGATGAAATGGATGAAATTTTTAATAATACTTCTCCGTGATATGGGGGAAAAAAATATTTCCTGAGTCTATGAGCTTACTCAGTGCTGACTTGCATAGCATTTTAACAACAGTAAAATAACCATCATCTTTCAGATTTTGCATTTGAAAAGCTTATTCTCTAGCTATAAATAACAGAGTATGAAAATACAATGTAAGCTTTTGGAAGCACTGAAGAGCCATATTTTTGGCCAGTTCAAATCAGTGTACCCTTACAGTTTTTATGCCAGCTGAGCACATGGTCAAACTTCTGCCTCGTCATATTGACTTAATTTTTTAAGTCTTCATCTACATAATCAGTTTTCAGAATCTAAAATGGACATCAGTTTAGTGTATAATCTTCATTTTTCTAAATACAAGAAACTGCAAGGCACCATCTTTAGAAAAGGAATACTTTGAGTGCTTTGATGGAGGATCCAGCCTGAGACCAGGCTTTTTGAGTCATCAAAGAAGCTGTGTGAGCATGTACCTCCAGAGTAAAAGCCATGGCAATCAGACCACGTTTGCTTCAATTGTCTCTAGAGTGAGACCCTCAGCTTCCTCCGTTTAAGGACCAAAAGTGGTTTTAAATATGACTTTCACAACAAATGTCAGTTTTCAAATTCCACATTCTGTTGCAGAACTGTTCCCTTTCCTTGTCATTATTCCAGTCATGCATAGTTACAATAGCTTATCTTAAAATAACACTGATGTAAAGAACCCAGTGCTTTTCACAGTCATCATGCATGTGAGTGGATTAGAGGAATGAAGGATGGAGACAAGGTCAAAAAGGTAGATTTTTCTTCCTTTTGGGATCAATGAGGTTTTTAAATTTTACTTCATTAAAAATCTATTGCCTTCTTCCTAGTATCTTGGAATAATCAGACTTTTATGTTGAGTTTGAACACTTTGAATATAATTTTACTGTCTGTGTGCAAAAGTGAAGTACAGAGAGGTGCTCTTTCAGGTGCAGCAAATTCCTTCCTTTTTACTTGTGAGTGCTGGATGTAGACTGGAGTCATATGCTAATCCATGGATCTATTACTTTAGGGAGGGAAGTGTCTGTGAATTCAGGGCATTTCCATTCACTTTAAAGCCTCAAGATGGAGCACTCATCAGAAGATGGTGCCCATGCACCATATACTTTATATCTTATGAAAGGGGTTGGAAATTATACATGGCACTTCTAAGTAGCTTTTTTCTGCTCTTTGCATTCTTGCTGTTTCATTCCTAATCCCAGTAATTGATGGAAAATATTTCCACATATGAAGGTCAGGACAGAATTTAGCCTTTACTTTCAAGGAAGTGAAGTGCTGAGAGTTTGTGTGAGCTGAAGGTGAAGGACTTTTGTTGTTTGCTTTTTTCTTACTTGACATTTATTAATGCTGGTTCTCTTTTAGAAAGCAGGTGATGAAGTGGACGTAATACTGTTGGGCAACAAGTGTGATAAGGAGTCAGAACGTGTAGTTCCAAAACAGAAAGGAGAAAAGGTATCATTGATACTTTCTTTGGGCTCTCCTGAGTATCTTAGTATGTCACTGTGAGCTGTTAAACTGGAAATGGTGAAAAGCTCCTGAATCCCAAAAATTCTACTAGGGATTGCTCCAGAAGAACACTTGAGGAGTCCTGGAGTGTTGGGGGCTTTTTTAACATACGAGTAGAAACACATTAAGTAATTCCTAAATGGTCTCTTTAGAATACACTTTTAAAAGTTCGAATGCACTTTAAAAGTTTTAGGTACTACAATAGAAATCTTTAATATAGAGTCTGCATTTTCAGAATACTGTTGTAATATGGAATACTAAAATGTAATACATTCTGCATAATTTTTCTGGTACCACCCATCAATAATCTTTTTGCTAAAATCTGACTATAAGGAACCATTCTGACAGCCTATGCAAAGTGAGCTGCATTCTCTATGAATAGCCCTAAATAAGACTGGACAGGTACTGAACATCCAGCTCCCCTAGACCTAACTGTGTGTGTGTGGTATGGCTGAGACTACAGTATAGTTTATACCTGCTGACCACAGTTAGGGGAAGAACTGTTATTAAGTGGGGAGTGCTGTTTTAAAGGCAGTGACAATTTATTGTCACTGAGAACCAGTGAGGAAATTCAGAAGCCATGCTATGACAGAAGAAATTTTGATAATAACTAAATATTGCAGGAGAGCATGGCCTATATACCATTTAATTTTGCTACTGCATACTGTATGCATCTGTTGTCTGGAACTAGGAATTAGCCCTCCTTTTTATGCTTTCAGGCATGGTGAGTCAGGCAGGATGTGCAAAGAAAAACACACTGATGATATCTTGCCAATTATATAAGCCCAGAGTAGGGAACTTTAAAAAAATAACATCACCTTTTTGACAGCATTACAATCTTGCAAGTTCATTGTTTGTATGGAAGGTGCTTTCAATGTTAATGAACCATAACTGTTTACAAGGAATAAGGTTGCTGAAAAACACATATGTACTCTCATACAAAGAATGTACTGTCAGAAATCTAAGGAATCACTGGATGCATGTGCACAAGAGGGCAGTAGTAGGGTTTTGCATATGGTGTGACATTTTCTGACTTCTGTGTTCTTAACCATGCAATCAAAATTTCTCTTAATAATGTATTTTTTTCAGAAACAAATCATTACCTCCTCCCCAGTGAGTCTACTTGCTAGATTTCCCCTGTGTTTTTAGGCAAGGCAACTCTTCAGTTATACTATTTCTTCTTTTAATATGATTTACAAGTGCTAAAACATCTGACTGAACATGCTGTAGAAATAGTCCATTAGCAGAGAGAGAGCTAGTAATTTTCTTCTCACTCCAAAGAAGAAAATATCCTTATTAGGAGGGGAAAACAGTTTGATACTAAGATTGACACATAATAATTCATACTTAGGTATTTCATATTACCGTGAGAGTATGAGCTGTAAGTATTGTTCTACTCAGTCTCTTGCAGAGAAGACCCTAGGTTCCCTGGGAATCTTGTCATCTATGTTGTATGTCACTTCCTAGACTAATTTAATGCTGTGAATTTTTTAGTTACTCGCTTTTGTAATTATGTAATTTCAATCACTCAGAAATTGATGTATTTAATTTTAACATTATCAAGTATAATTTTCTTGTATTAATTGCTTCTTATTCACTTTGACAAAAGTTTTAGCTCAAGGTTCTTGGGCTCCTCCATTCACCCCCCCCAAATATAATTTTCTTTTTCACTGAAAAATAAAAATGTTGAAGGTTGGTAGAATGTGGCAGTTTTTTTCCTATCAAATCTTTCTAACAGAAAAAGCCAAGTAAAATTTTCTACCCTTTTTTTTTTGCTTTTGCTGTCTTCATAGCTGAAGCTGATTTATAACTCTGAAGCTGATTTTACATGTACAATACAAATTTTAAAAAAATATTCTGCACATCTCTAGGAATATTTCAGCCACATCTCTCTGATTCAACACTAAGAAATAATAGCAGCCCTTTTACTGGGAAGTAGTATATTTTGAGTTAAAGGAACAATTGGAATTAAATTTCATCTTGGAAGCGGTATTAGCATTATTTTGTCACTGTAACACTGGCTCTCCAAACTGTTCTCAAGGATATTATAAAATAAAATTGCCCAATAGTATAATTCTGATAGGTTTGTAAATGTATTTAGATATTTCATTTATGGATCTACTCAAGATACTCCTAAAGGAGAAAAAAAGTAGTTCTTTGAATGTGCCTTTCCAGTTTCTTTATGAGAGGGAGTAGCCAGATCTGTGTTCATGTTTCCAACTGCTTTAACACTGGACTGGTAGGGTTTTTTCCATCTAGTTACATTTTTAGAAGACTTGCTTGCCACAGAACTTACCGCTATGCAGGGTGAATTGAAATTATGCACACATTAATCTTCTTTGACCAATACTGTGCACATATAGAGAAAAATGCAGGTGCATTGATAGATGTAGTAGACAATGTAGTAATATGATACAGAGAAGACTGAAGTTTTTTGCTTTGATTTGATTTGATTTTTCTTTTGCATTGGTCTTCAGAGATAGAGCTTGCAGGTCTATTTGTGGTCTGTTTGTCTTAGGCCTCTGCAGGTACTGGCATGGTTTGGAAAGGAGCAGGTCAGCCAGCAGTGGGAAAGCTTTGGATTAGAAACTGCTTAGGAAAGTTGGACGCATCCATAGACATGATGAAGTTCATCCAGTTGTGCCAAAAGACCTGTCAGTCAACTCTGAAAAAACGTGGTGGTTGGGAGAGATCCCTTTTGACTAGAAAGATGCTGGCATGATACGAATCTTTTAAAAAGGACAAGGAAGGAGCTTCAGGGAGCTATAGTCAGTCAGCCTTGCTTCAGTCATGTTGTTCAACATCTTTATCAGTGATCTTGCTGATGATAGGTGGAGATTTGCATGTAGCATGAGATTAAGGGGTGTGACTGGCAGATCAAATGGGAGAACAGCAATTCTGTAGGACCTTGATAAACTTCAGAAGCGAGCCAACAGAAACATCATTAAATTCATGAAGTGCAAAGATTTGCACCTGTGATGGAGTAATCCCAGGCATGATTTACTGCTGCAAAGGACTCAAGTTTCTCTGAACACCAGCTTGAATATAAGTCAGCAGTGCTCCCTTATGGCTTTAAAGCATGCTGGGTGACATTAGAAGGATAGTGGATAGTAGATCTGGGGGGATTATTACCCCCCTTAATTGGTGCTGCCAAGGCTACATGGAATATTGTGCCCAGCTTTGGCTCTCCCATCTCAAGAAGGGTGTTGAGAAACTGCAGATGGTCCAGCACACAGGTACAAAGGTGTTTGGGGCCCAGTAGCAGTAATCCATGAGGAGAACTGGGGGAAGTGGGTAAAGAGGAGGCTAAGGAGCAGGTACTGGTCTACAGCAATTGAAGTGTAGCTAGAGAAATGACAGAAAAGACTCTTCTCAGCAGAGACAGACAATAAACCAAGGAGCAGCAGACACAAGACCTGGCTTGGGAGGTTCAGGCTGGAGATGAGGAGAACCAGTTGCACTAAAAGGGTGATGTAGCTGTGGAAGAGGGTCCCATGAAGGTTATAGAATGTCCATCATTGGTGGATTTCAAGACTTGGGTAGGCAAAGCCATGGCTAACCTCATTTCAAGAGGGGTTACCTTTCAGAATGATTTCTGTGATTCCATGACTAAAATGTAGGGGGTTTGTGTTCATCAGAGTTTGTACGCAGGTAACCCTCTAGAAATCTGGTACGTGATACAAGGAAAAGGGAGTATTTAATTAGTTTCTGTGTACTTTAGAAACTGCTAAGCAGTTTACTTTAGTAGCCCAGTATTTTTTACTGCTCGTATTTTTCTTTATGAACCATTATGCATCATCGTTTTGTATTGACACTCATGAATAGCTAAATGATCTTAATTTTCTGTAACAAGTTGCTGCAGTACTGAAAATAGTTCACAGCAGTAAGCTAGAGTTTCAGAATCCCTTATGAAGCAGTCTGTCTAAAGAAACAGTCTAGATCTCATCTTTATTTTCAGAATTACATTTTCTTGTAGCACTTTGGAAAGGAAACCAATTACCTCACTTTTTTTTCCTACCTTTAATATAATCTTTGTTATATTTTGACTAAAACTTATGAAGTCTGATTCTTTTATCTGTATCTTTGTGCCTGATTTTGGAATTTTTGTAAAGCACTGATTTGTTATTTCTGGAGCTCATTGAAAGCAAACAGAACTGCCAACATTAGACTTTTTATCCTAATGGAGACCCTTCCAAATAAATCATTAACTGTTCAGTAATAACAGGATTTTCTATACATTATAAGCAGTAGGGTATTTTCTTTGCCTGATATCATCTTCTCCAGATGTGTACCAAGAAGAGATCCATTACAATGAGAATAAATAGACTCTTCCACTATTTTTGGCATATTTATTCCCACTTTGGCCCCCTCCCTTGGGAGGCAATGATGCAACTGTGTTTTCTTTTTGTCCATGTATTTAACTGTGTAAATTGGGAAAAGTTTAGGACTCTAAAAAACTATTATTTTTGTTGTGTTGAGTTTCTTTCTTCATGCCAGCATAGCTCTAAGCTATCAATAAGGGAAATACACTGGAAATGAGAGAACACAAGTAAATTAAATAGAACCCACTAATATAAAGTCTATGCTGCCCTTATAAGTATTTTCTCTTTGCCTATTACCATAATATATTTTTTCCAGATGTATCTTTTTTTTACTTGCCTGTTATTTCTGTGCTTCTCTTTGTCTGGCATAAAGGAACATCTCTTTCATATTTCATCATGTCTCTTTTCCTTCAGTTTTTGTCACATTTTTATCTATACCTTTCTGCGGGCACTCCATTAGTTTTCTCTAAATAATTACCTAGGAGACAGTTTGTTTTCCAAATGTATCAAAACATTGAGAACAGACCCACTGAAGTTTATTGTTGTTATTTACCAGTAGAGATAGGTTAAAAAAGCTGCTTTGAAAATGGAAAAAAATTAAAGAAGAATGAAACATTCTGAGGATGAATATAGAGTATTTTACTGAACTAACATGTATTTAATCATTGTTTATATAGCATGTTAGAAGTAGTCAGAACACTTCCATTTCTCTTGATACTAGTATTAGGAAGTGGTTTTTTTTCCTGAAAACTGTTCATCCCGTTGCCTACCTCTGTTTTTCAGATTGCTTGGGAATACGGAATACCGTTTTTTGAAACCAGTGCTAAAGATAATGTGAACATTGAGCATGCATTCTCACTCTTGACTAAGGAAATACTGGAAAAGGTAGGCTTCTTTTCTAAGTAGAAAGAATGTGAGATTTTTCTTGACAGATTGGGTAAAGAAGGTTGTAAATACAGAACAGGTTTGGCAAAGCACAGCTAGTGCTTTTTTTCTGTGTTACGGAGTTAATATTTCGAAGGGATCCTGTAGTTGCAGGTATACAGTGGAGGAATGTGGGGGAAAAGAATTGTGGGAGAAGAGAAAAACAATAGAGGGGAGCAGGTAAAATACAGTTCAGAGAGAAAATGAAAATTCAGAACAACTGCTTTTGTGTCTTTCTTTCCCATGCTTTTCTGTAAGGGAGTGGTTAACAGCTCTAGAGTAGTTCCACTTCTGTGCCAGCATGATTCCCTTTTCCTCTAGGTTTCTGCAGAATGTGCACACAGTGAAGATGCTGTATGCTGATGTAATCAGTGGACCTTTTATGTTCAGCAGTCAAATGTTTTATACAAGGTTCATAGCTGTTTGTTTGGCTGATTTACACTAGTGCTTTTGAAGTTATGGTGACCTAAAGATTTGAGTTAATTAGTAGTGGAATCAATATTGTAGCTGTCAGAGTCAGCATCTCTAACTAACTCAAGTGCATTGGCTTAAAAGTCCTTATTCCTTGGAGTTGCAATACTTTTGTAGGACTGAATTATTGTTCATTAGCTCTGAAAATGTTTTGCATTGTAATTTATTTTTAGACAGTAGAATATTATTTTAGACATTAATAGATGTTCTTCATGCAATGCATTATCATCGCCATTCATCACCAATATTAGTTATACAAAACTAACCTTCCATTCTGAATACTGTTGAAGTCATAATAAAGATAAATGAGCAAAATTACTGACAAAGTCACAAGTTGCAGTGTTTTGATTAAGTAGCCATAGGGGATGGTCAGAATAATAGCTCTGGGTTGGACTGCTTCTAAGTCAAGGTCCTGTTGTATTATATAACACAAGCTGTAGTTGGTTTTTTTGGGGGAGAAAAAAGAAGAAAAAAAATCTTTTGATTACTTTAGCATGAAAATGAAGCACAGCAACTTGATGGTCAAATATTGTTTAGAACAGGATGATAATGGCAGGTCCTTGAATAGTTGGACAAAAAGTCTCAAATAAGATAACTCTGATTTTATTGTAAATTAAAAAGACATTGACTGCTGTAAATGGAGAATATATTGATATGTTAGTATGAAGCCTGAAAATACAAAACAATAGCTATGATCATAATTACTGCAAAGACAAATATGTGCGAAGTGAGCATTTCTGCACAGTGCATTTGGGTAAGATCTAAGAATTCTCTCAGCGTGCAGAAATGGTGCTTGGTTATTTCTCACATTAAGATTGCCTGCACTTACTGTAGTGTAAGTGCAACTTCAGTATTCCTACTCATCTTCATGAAAATTCATGCGGTTTTTAGTGTGGACATAGCAAACAAATTCAGTCCACACTGAAAATGTTATACTGCTGCATGGTTTTAATTAGAACTGCTTTGAACAGTTGTGTGCTCTGATTGCATATATGTGTGTTTGGGAATGAGAATTTGTCGAGTTTGTCTGTACTAACAGTTCACCTTAGCTAGAAATGTTTAAAATCCTGACGGGGCATCACATACCATTACTTTTATGTATAATTTGCCATTTTTAGTGAAACGGATTTGTTGATATAAACAAGGACTCCTTTAGCCCGATTGGTTTTTCCATGGCCTAATAAGAGAGTTCACAGTAAAAAAAAAAAAAAATCTACCATAGAGTTTCATCATGGTTTTCAGGTTCGACAAAATAATTTGCCTGTTCACAAAACTGTGAAATCTGAATGTAGTACTTGGAATTTTAACTTCCTCTAACTGATGAAATTTTGGAGAAGGGAAAATGCAGTGGGAAGTGTAACTAGTAGCTGTGAAAAATGACATGATAGGTGCCAGTCTGAGATCATTTTAATCATATATCCATTCTGTAGTGGTGAAAAATGTACTTGCTGATTGTAAAAAGGAGATACAGCTTTGCATAGTGTTTTGGCCCAAGACACCTATATCTGATGGTATCAGGCTTCCCATGGTTCTGCAGTAGGACCACCTCTCCCAGACTGATGAGATGCTTCAGTGGAAGCATGTCATTGCTTTACCAGTCCCACAGAGGAAACTCATTTTAAGGAACTTCCTAGAAAAGTCTATTATGGCCATGCTTTTGGGAAGTATGTGAAGGTCATTCAGAGGTAAGATAAATGGGCAGGGCAGGCTGACAGGCAGCAGACCATTTTCAGATACATTGCAGTAGATTGTATTAATCTGAGGAAATCTAGGATTTTTTTATATACGCTCTTGCCTACTATTTACTACAGGCATTTCTTTATTAACCAAATGTACAGAAAACACCTCTGTAGATAGTGAAGATCAATGTCCAGAGTTACCAGAGCTCATACAGAAGTACTAAGTGTCTTGATTGTTTTGAAATTTAGAACAAGCTGTTGTTCAGTGGAGGGCTGGGGGAAAAAAAAAACATATTAAAATGTGTCAGACATTTAAACAAAACAAAACAAAAGGCAAGTTTGTATCGTCACTATTTTGTGCTGCATTTTCCTATCTCTTCATTTGTAGTTTTTCTTGTAGTGAGTTTAAGGGAGAGAAAAGACTTCTGTATCCCAGCAATTCAGATAACTAAAGTACTGCTTGACGTTTCAGATACCATCTCAGCCATTCTATGCTTAGGCTCAGTCCTACAGCTCTAATTTACATGGGTAGTCTCACTAAAACCATCAGATGTTATTTGAGAGTTTACATTGGTAACAGCTAAGGATTCATGCCATATTTCTGAGAACTCACAATTTTCAAACCAATCAGTTAATAATAACTGAATACAGTACTTTAATTTTAACTTCCTCTGACTGATGAATTTTTGGAAAAGGGCAATAATAGCTGATTTGATTGTATTTGAAAGGCTGCAGTGGAAATAGATGTTAATGACAGATTATTCCAGAATATTGCTTAGACATGTTGACAAATAACAACAGTATTTTATTTATTCACAATTCCTATAAGTCTCAGATATGCCTAAACCTGTTCAATAATAGATGACAGCTGTTCTTTCACAATGCTTCTGGTTGCCAGTGAACTATTTGAACTTGGGAGTCAGTCCTCAAGAAACACCCAAAACCAAAAAAATACCTCCCAGAATGCAGTTAGCATTTGCATTTTTGTGTTGTTTGGTGTCATGGCTGACAAGCAGTACTTTTCTCAACTACCTTTAAAAAGAAATATTACAAACCTTTGTATTTATGTCTTTGTGTGGGTGGTTGTTGGTATTTTTCTAAAATAGGAGCAAGGAAGGAACTGTATTAAAAAAAAAAAGGAAAAAAAGTACCAAGTTTTCACCTTTTTCTGAAGACTGCCATAAGACTTAACCAAAACTTAAGTTCTGCCTGTCTCCTAAACTGACTACTAAGATTATTTTAATCATATTAAATAAACATATATCTGCTGAGTAGAGAACAGTGAAAATCCATTTAAGACCTTGCCCTGTGCTGTTGAGAGCAACATTTAATGTTTAACAGCTGGATGTCATTTGAGATGAACATTCTGAAATAGCAGGCCTCAATTCTGCCCTTCCTATGTTTCTTTACCTTTCTTTCCTATGGCAACAGATTTTTGAAATTACACTGTGTGTCCCATGCCTTTGCTCCTAAAGTACCTTTGTAACTTGTTAGCTGATTTTAAACAAATTTGACAGGTCAAATTAAAAGATAATTAAGCTCCTGAGGAGTTCTTGAAAATAAGGTGAGAGGGAGAGTACTCTGCAAAAGGAAAGTCTCCAGCATGAGGTCATACAGTGTTGGACAGAGACCACTCTATAGAGAGACTGAAAAATGCTTCAACCAGCCATTCCAGCTGGAACTTGCATCATAGATATCAAATTTAATTCACATCAAGACCCAAATCCATAGGAAATCGGATTTCATTATTGCTGAGGTTCATGGAATTGTTAGTTTGTCTAAAAGATCCCTGTGTCTCCAGCAGTGCATACTCAGTGTTTCTTTATTATCCTCAGTCATGCATGGAGCCCCAGGCTTTGTTTGCCCTTTATTTATCTTGTACTGACCACAGAATATTAATTCCTTCGAGAGGGTTTTCATAATGCTTGTAATGCTGTACTTTAGATCTATTTTAGATTTTTATCTCCATAACCTTCTTAGTAACATTAGGTAGTATATTCAGCTTTGCACACTTGGGAACCAAGGTACAGAGATTAAAGCAAAGAGGATAAATGGTGCCAACTCAGTGTTGGTGCAATGTAGGGCATAATTTAAGTACACTATCTTATTTAATTAAAAAAAAAAAGTCTGTTCTGGACATTGAATGAGCTAGATATTCTTCTGGAAACAGTAGCATATAATTAGGTTATGTAAATCAAAACTTAATCACAATGTCTGAGTGTACAGGATGAGATTCATCTTGATGTGCAACCTTAGCCAGCTAAAATTTGCATGACTGGTCTGGTTGTCTGGAATCATCTCTATAAAATGGAAAGAGATGAGTCTTTTTAGGATAAAATTTTGTTCTGGAGGTGCCTTTCTTTTTCCCTTGATTATAGGGAGTTCCATATCTCAGCCTATATGGTTTCATGTGATTCAAATTAAATAAATTGAACTCCAGGAGACCAAAAGAATGTTACAGACTTGACTCGCTTCTGGCAGTTACTGCTTCTGCAGGATCTTGTTTTGAAGACGTACTGCTCTCTTAAATAGGGTTGTTGATGTGCAACTATACTAAACCTTGCCTAGATGATTTGTAGGGTTGAGGAACCTTACAGGAGGACCACGGCTGTCTTCTCAAGTTTGTGAAATAACTAATTGCAGTATAACATTGTTTCAGTCTACCTGGTATTAACAGAAGAGGGAGATAGAGCCCCACACTTTGCCAGTGGGTTAGATGTTTTAGACATGATGGAATAGCATGTTTTGGGAGCAAAGCCTTCATCAGCATTTCTTGAGGAACGTATTCAGCAGCAGTTAGATCCTGCTCCTGTCCCTATTCCCACAGAGATTGCCTTCCCTGTTAATATATCCTTAGCTCTTGCTTAATACTGCTTGTGCCATGTCCTGCCCATTGCTGTTGTGAGAAGACTGTCTTGCATTTTGAACAAGTAATTTGAATTACAGAATATAGGGAATGCACGGAAAGCGTCAGGACTGTTCATAACTGAGCTTCCTCTACTGGCAGTTCAGGAATAAAAGTGACATGGACTTGGTTGCATCAAGTTCTCTGCCATGGTTTGTCAGTCTTTGTCAACTATCATTGTTAAATATAAGCAAAATGATTGCAGTGATTAAGGAGGATCATTCTGTCATTAGAATAAAAATCCTCAAAATTTAAAGAATGTATAAATAATAGGAACCTCAGTTACAGTTCCTTCTGCTTGTTTCTCCAAAGCTGCTAGTTTTTCAGCAAGCACTCCAAGCCTGACTTCGATTGGGGACTTGATAGAGTAAAATCCTGTCATTCTTCCAAACCCACAGTGAGCCTCACCTCTGAAATAACTAAACCAGTATCAAAATACCAAGAACTGGTGCTTGAGTAGGTGAATCATCTGACTTTGTATGGCACAGTTGATCTGAGCAGTTTTTGCAGCAGGGAATGGTCAGCTGATCTTAATGAAGATTTACAGATTTACTCCATTAGAAGCCTTTCAAAGAGTTCATCTTTTCTTTTTGTTACATTTCCCTTTGTATACCACCTTAGCTTTCTTTCTCTGATTTAAAAAAAAAAAAAATGGAATCTTAGCCATCTCATCACAATTCCTGTGTCTAGGTATCTGTTGTATGCCAATGATACAAACTCTGCTTAGAGCTGGGGAGGAGAGACAGCCGGGAGGGGAGACAGCAGGAAGCATAAAACTGGCTTGAACAGATGCCTCTTTGTTAGGTGAGACATGTCTGGTGTGCTATTTAACAGGAAAAACTAGTATTTGATAGCAGGAAGTTTCAACATCTTACTAAAATCACTGCAGGGTGGAGCAGCATCTCTGTCTATGGAGGTATTTTCAAAACCCCACTTTGCTCAAGATGCCGAAGTGGAAACTCAAGCTTCTTGGTACCATTTTGGTTCTTCTCATCTTTTCACATCTTTTTTGCTGTTTGTTGGCTGACTTGTCAGGCAGTGAGTTACAACAGGCTGAGCTGAAATGTGAGCTGGAAGTGTTAGTGTTCATGGAGCCCTGGAGGAGGAATGCTGCCTGCCTTGTTCCCAGAGGTGGGAGAGATTTGCATAACTCCCTGCTGTAATTTCAGGAGAGGGGGTGCCCCACCTCTTCCAAGGCTTGGCTGAAGTTGAGCACTACCTGGGATTGCCCAAACCTGATCGTTGCTTCAGCGCTTTATGCAGGACTCCTCATATCTCTTTAGATTATGAATGTGGACTGTTAAAAGCTGTATAGCACATTTGCTTAAATGAATCCCAGGCCCTCATTTGCTTCACAAAGATCCTGAATGGAACAATCTTACCAGTCTTACCAAGCTGAAGTGATTAAGAATCCTCAAATTTACATTTTAAAATTTCAAAATGGATTTCAAAATGGCTCTTCTTTATTTGTAGAGTGGTGGTTCTTGTCTTTCTGTGCTGGCTAGTCTGTTGATAAACTATCAGATAATGATCTTACAGATTATAAGAACCATTGCATTATCATTATGCTTCACCATTCTTAATTACTTACAGAACTGAGGATCTGTGCTAAGGATACATGAACAGCTTACTTGCCACCCAGAAGTACTATTAAATAGTAAAATATTTGCAAATAAGCATATTCAATATTTAAGGAACATGAAAGTTTCTCCCCTTTCACTGAAAGCATGAAGTTTGATACTGAAGTATAGCCTGCAACATCTTGAATTACCTGTTTCCTCTAAAGTTAAGTAAGTGAAATCTGAATTCTGAAACTGTTCAAACAGGGATTTTTCTAGAACTCTTTTAAACTACTTAAACTGATTTTGTTTTCTCGTGAAAAAGCATGAGTGAGACAAAACGTTTTTAGTTTATGTCCACAATAATCAATGCTTAATGTTATTTCTTGTTCTCAAATAAGTGAATTTAAACTTCTTACTGTACCATTTTCTTCCAAAGTTTTCCCTTCAGAATCTTATCTGTAAACCACCATGGTATCTTGTTCCTTGAGATGGCAAGGTTATGTTTGTGTACTTTGGATTCTGCCTTGCTCCCTCTTTCAAAAAGGTCTTCATACTTTATATTTACTGTCTATGCTTGCAGACTATCAAATACTGTCTCTGCCTAATGTTAATACAAATGTTAATAGCTAATGCCTTTACTTGAGTACCTTACGCAACTGTGCAAAAAGTTAAAATTTATCAGAAGTTATAAATCAGTGTGTTGGTATTTGTGTGAATTCTCAAGGGTAATAAAAATGTTATGTCTCTTGGTCCTTATCACTCAAAAAATAAAAATAATTTAAAAAACCCAAACAAAAAAACCAAGTAAAAGTGCACATGCTGTGTTTCTTCATTATTTGACTAATGACAAGAAATTCCTAAAATCAGTAAGTCACAGTCTTCTAATACCCTACAGTCAGAACAATATTTGCTAATAATTTTACTGATGACAGCTTCGGCATCCATCCTGAGGTTTAGACTCTACAATACATTTTCTGCCCTCAGCTCCTGCCTCTGTCCATCACTTCTGATCCCTTCCCAGGTTCATCTTTTCTCCTGCACCTTGCACTGTGGAAGCCTCCCTGGTTCTCTGCAGCCCCAGGGAGGATCAAGCTCAGCCGCTCTCTTTGTGGGGACGGCCCTGGCACAGGGCAGCCAGCACTCTGGAAGAGCTGAAACTATGGCTGCAGAAGGAAAAAGGAAACAAATTTCATGCATCCGCTCCAGAATTTAGGCAGCGATAAATATGCCCAGCCAAAAAGGCATCAGGCTTATTTGTAGCATAGGGGAACTTTTTATTTTGCCCTCATTCCGATTCACCTGAGTAATTTTAGATGAACTCTTCTGGATGTAGTCAATGTTCAACTACCCTGTGACATTGTGTGTGTAAGTTTTCAATTCTGAATCGTGATTAGCATTGTTCATGATGACTTTTTTCCCTTTTCCTTTCTTTTTTCTTGTGCTTTGAATTTCATGAATCCCATCTTAGATAGCTGTTGTCTCTGGAAGCTTTTCTTTATTGTCAGAAATTGTTGTTTATGGCTGTTGGGTTTGGGTTGAGATGAATGTGGTGAATCCAGTGGTTGCACTTACTTCTCTGTGTATCATTACATACTTGGTAAACCTTCCAAGACACAGGCAGGAGAATGGCAAGTAGAGAAGTTAGGACTTTTTGTTTCCTTGGCATGTGACAATATTCTCTATGTCTTTGTGCCCTTGTTCAGGGTTCAGTGTTACAGTTTCAGAGTACAGGATTGCGACATGTATTTGTACTGTATTGCACAACTGGGTTTGATTGTTTCTCTGGTCAACACTAATTATCTAGTAGAGTTTATTGCTGAAAGGAAGAGTCCTGGTTTTGATGATCTTTATTTTTGTTATAATCTGATTTTGCAATCAGTACATAAATGTTTTACAAGGGTGGAGTGCTATTTTGATAGTTTATCATGATAAAAACTGAACTGTTTCCATTTGGAGGTATTGGCGGTTATTAAATAGAGGCCAGAAAACAGAGAATTTTAGTGAATTTCCCAAGTTAAAGTCCTTTCTAACAGTTAATAGCCTGTGCCTTTTTTGAGTGGGTAGTGATACTCTGTATTTTCCTGTTCCTTTCAACTGGGCTTTTGCACCCCATGCTCAATACTTCAAGGATTAATGCACTTAACTGAAACTACTTATAATTGGTGTAGTCAACAGGAGAATGTGCTCTTATAAACAGTTCATGTGAGAAAAGATTTTCAGGATAGCATGGTTTGTAGTGTCTCCTCAAAAGACACCTTCTATCATCTATCACCTTCAGAGTGAGGAGAGATGTTTGAGGCAGCTAAAGAATGTAAAGATGCCAAACCGGGACTTGCATGGGCTTCAGTTTCCATTTAATTTGTTAGAAAACTGCAATCTTATAATTAAATATATAGACAAATATATAGACAAATATATCTAGTGACTTTACCAAATATTTTACATTAAAATACGTGAAAAAGCAAGCTTTTCAACTGTTGTGTTCTAGTTATCTTAATTGTTTGCTTATGTTTGTTTTACAGAAATCCTGTGTATTATATGACTTAGATGTTGTGACTCTAAATGAAAGTAAGAAGAGAACCTGCTGTGCATTCTGAAATATTGTTTCATGTTCCATTTTCTCTTCAGAAAATATTAAGTGTTGCAAAGGCACACACAAGATTTTAAAAGCGAGCCTGTAATCCCAAAACACAGTGTTCAGGCATCCTTTTTATTACACAGACTTTGTTGCCAAATGTTTTTATATGTTTATATTATATTTTCATATTTTTAATGTGAAGATAAAACAGTTATCTGATATTGGAATGCATCACAGGATGACTGTGTTTGCATACAAATGTTTGCAGAAATGTAATGTAAGTGTACAAATTTTCTCTTATTAAAAAAAAAATTACCTTGACTTTATTTTTTCTGTGTTATTTATACCAGATTTGTAATGAACATTCACATCACCCTCACACAGGCAACCTTCTGATATATGAAATCATATAACATCTCTTTAAGCACCTGATATTTACTGCCATCTCCTAAGATATGGAAATTTTTAGCTTTTGTTTCTTTTGCATCTATTTCAGAAACATATGTGTTACTTCAATAACCTTGAATAGGGAGGCTGCAAAGGTGAGGGCTGAGAAAAAAGAATAAACCACATACAAGACTGGTGTCATAGAATGGTTTGGGTTGAAAGGGAGCTTAAAGATCATCTAGTTCCAGCTCCTCTGCCATGAGCAGGGATGCCTTCAACTAGGGTATGTTGCTGAACCTTCCTAAGAAGGCAGAAAACAGAGAACAACACAATCCTGTAATACACATCCTGTAATAATCATCTTTCTCATATGAAGTGGTATAATTCTTTAAAATAATTTGTGCAGGTATTAGCAGCATACCTGTATTTTCAAATGTTCATTTTGTCACAGATGATTGCTATATAAGGGTTTGTTTGATATTGTGACATATTCATGTTATTTTCTTAAACTATAAATAGATTATACTCATACATTGTATGAGTATAATGATTCTGCTCATTTAATCTGCATTATACTGGTATGTAATATCTTTAATTTCAGTGGAGGATATTAGATTTAATTTTTAAAAAATTAAATGAGGGCAGAATCATGTTGCTGGTTACTTTTTGTTTAATCAGAGGTAAAGAGAGCACAAATCAAATTGCAGGACACAAAATGAAAGGACAGATTGGGAAATCTGAAGAATTGTGGTGACTATATTGTCGTTTTTGGGGGGGGGGGTGTGGGAGATGCGGTTCTTTCTGATTATTGAATTTGTTTTATCATCATTTGTGAATGAATAATGTTACGCAAAATTCTGTCATGAGCTATCCCAGCGTATCCAAAATAACTAGCTCCACTGGCTTACTGTTCTGGAATGTCACTACACTCCTGAAATATGCCTGCTTCTTTTTTGGGGGGGCTGTTTCTAGATTGTCATAATATCGATTTGTTATTAGAGTTGGTATTGAGACAGGGAGCTCTAGTGGAAAATGCTTTCTGAAGCACATGGGACTGAATGTGCTTGAGCGTACTGCCAGGTTTGTGTGCCACTAGCCCAGTTAGTGTGCTTGCAGAAAGGGTGTGAAAGGATGGGAAGGGCTACATATTTACAGCTGCTCCTGACTACTTACCATGGGCAGTCACTTAAGCCAGCGTTTATTGCAAAATCTGAAAACAAGGAACAAAGGATAATCCCTGCCTTCGTTACAACCATAGCAGAGGAAGGAAATAGTGCTGGAAGGGATTTGGAGAGGCTGTTTAGGTCCTCATCATATCTCAGCCTCTGATCAGCTGCCCCTGCTGTACTGCAGGAACATGGTTAGAGACTTGGAGTGATAGAGATTTCAGGGTGGCTACCGTCCTTACTTAACTGGCTTGGCAGGCACGAAATCTATTACCTAACCGGTACAGAAGGAAAGTAGGTTCTCCCTTTTGCCTTCCCTTCCCAAACCTAACCTTCCCTCCCAAACTTTCCCTTCCCAAACCTTCCCTTCCTAAACCTTCCCAAACCTTCCCTTCCCAAACTTTCCCTTCCTAAACTTTCCCAAACCTTCCCTTCCCAAACCTTCCCTTCTCCTCTTCTCACCAGAGAACTCCTGTCCCTTCTACCTTCCCATTCCAGTCTATCAGAAGATCTTTAACTTACCTATGTGTTTTGCAATCTGTTTCTTCATTTTTCTAGCCTAAGCTCTTAGACTTTTGTTGGTGGTACTAGTAAGTGAAATCACATTTGCCTTCTAAAACTGAAGACTGAGGTTAAAAAAAGGCATTAAGGATACTGGCATCTCAGTATCACTAGTCCTTAAGTGATGATTAAATAGGTTTCCCCCTCTATGGAATAATAGACCAATTTTTTCCTTGGCCTTCTCGCTATGCATCTTATCAACATCCTTGCTGTCTTTTAAATCCAATTTTCTAACATTTTGGGACCTTATCTTTCAGGTTCTGTCTGTACATAGTCTATACATTCATTCATAATTTAGTAATTTGATGAACTTTCTATTTTCCTTCTGGTCAATGAAGATCAGATGATTCAACCAACTTAGTCTTTATTTCACTTCCTCCTCCTCTGTATAGATCAAATTCTGCAGTTTTGCCTTTCTGCTATGGATCTCTGATGAACTTTTAGCTGTCCTGAACTTGCAGAAATTTAGCTACTAGTTCTCTGAGTTTGTCTCCGTTAAATTCCTCCTCCTTTTCCTAACAATGAAAATAGATAAAAAAGGGCTAGACTGATTTGTAATTTTGATTTCTTCTCTTTGTAACTAATGAGAATTTCAACTACAGGAATTTCTTCTTGCAGTGTTTTCTACTTCTTGTGGCTTAGGCATGATCCAGTTACTGGTGCACCTTACCGAGATGCAAATATTCAGGTTTCGCCTAACACTCCAGGTACCATGAGTGTTCTCCTTTTCCCATCTCCTGGAGCAAAACAACTGCCTTTTCTAAGCATATGCATTGTGGATTACATTCAGAGGAACACGCAACTGGGGGAAAACCACCACTCTCACTAGGAGCAGAAAACCTCCTGCCAAACTGGGACATGCTGTGTTTAAAGGCATTCTCGAACTAGAAATAAGGATGTAAGTTGAGAGTATTGTCTTCATTTAGTTCTCTAAAAAGCTGGCTGGATGACAGTGTTGCACAAATTCCCACAGATGGAATTTTTAGCTTCAATAAAGGTTAAATAAGGGATTTGACTGAAAAAAGGAGGACACCTCTTACAGTGAAACGGAAGATAAAAGCTGAATGCTCACACCAGACCCTCAGATATCTTTATAATACCTTGCATGAGCGAAGATTGCCTAGATTTTGCCAGTAATACAGGAATAGTGTTCTTTTTCAAAACATGAGATCTGCAGATATCAACTGTGTCAAATGCATTGTTCTCTTTCCCCTTCCCCCTTTGCCTCAGGATCCCCCTGGATCTGTGGACTGAGGCCAGTTGTATGAGGCCCAATGAGGAGAAGTGCCAGGTCCCGATCTTTGGTCACAACGACCCCCTGCAGCACTACAGGCTTGGGAGAAGAGTGGCTGAAAAGTGGCCCTTCAGAAAAGGACCTGGCAGTGCTGGTCAACAGCAGCTGAACATGAGCCAGCAGTGTGTCCAGGTGGCCAAGAAGGCCAATGGCATCCTGGCCTGTATCGGCAATAGTGTGGCCAGAAAGACTCAGACCACCAAGTCACCCTGTACTCGACACTGGTGAGGCCACACCTCAAGTACTGTGTCCAGTTTTGCGCCCCTCACTCCAAGAAAGACATTGAGGTGCTGGAGTACGTCCAGAGAACAGAGTTGGTGAAGGGTCTAGAGGGTGTGTCCTGTGAGAAGTGGCTGAGGGAGCTGGGGTTGCTTAGCCTGGAGAAAAGGAGGCTCAGGGGTGACCTTATCCCTCTCTACAACTACCTGAAAGGAGATTGTAGCAAAATGGGAGTCAGTCTTCTACCAGGCAACTAGCAACAGGAGAAGAAGACATGGTCTCAAGCTGTGCCAGGGGAGGTTGAGGTTGGACATCAGGAAGAATTTCTTCATGGAAAGGATTGTTAAGCATTGGAATGGGCTGCCCAGGGAAGGTGGTGGAGTCACTAGCCCGGGAAGTGTTCAAGAAATGATTGGACACGGCACTCTGTGCTGTGGTTTACTTGGCATGGTAGTGTTCAGTCAAAGGCTGACTTGAATGATCTTGGAGGTCTTTCCCAGCCTTAATGATCCTATGATTCAGAGAAAGTTAGAGATTTAGGACCTGCTTCTGAAGTGATCGCTGCATCTTCTGTTATATCCCATTGGACTTGTAAATATTTATGAAAATCAGGCCTATAAAGGCAAATCACATGTAGGAAGAAGGAATGCAAATTCATAGGGTTTTTTTAAAGAAATACGAACTGTTATAGCCTCACATGAAACTTACTGTATAAAGCTCAGTTTTATTTGATGCGTGCATACTGCATTGTAAAGCATGTTCCCAGATACATAACTAAAATCAGTTTGTAGTTCTTTTTCAGATGTTAGCATTGGCAGTGGAATAAATATATACTAGAGACTTTACAGCCTGCTGCATAAATGTGTTGTGAAATCAACATGAAAGTCAATTCAAAATGCATTTAAGAATAATTTCAGGAATTATTCTGAGTCCCTCTGCCGCTGCTTATGGTTTTATGGAATGAATTTGCTGTTGATTCATAAATAGTGTCTCTGAACACCACCTGAAAAGCACATGCAGAAGAACTAAGGTGTTGTATAACTGAGGCCCTGGCCCTAAGGTGGACCTGCTCACAGCGATTCCTCTCCAGGTCTGGTGGCTTCATTAGCATTTTGCACCAGTAGGGGACTGGTAAGAGATCACACTCAGGGACTAAGGCATTGCTAGACATCAGAGAAATTTTTATCTCTAAAGTGTTAATTACACATAAGGTGCAGTTAAAACAAGAAATCTTCTGAGGCTCATATGTGCTGATGATTTGAATGGCGTGTATGTAATATTAGAATGTATTTCAAGAAGACAGAACTGTAGTACAGTTAGGACACATAACAAGGTCACTCTAAGAGTAAGAGCAAGATATTTAAATATTAGTAAGCTTTATGATATCTCTGCCGGAAAACAGCTGAATGAAATTCAGATAACATCTAGAAGTTAAATTTTTTTAAAAATGCACCTTGTTCCAGTAAAAAGGCTAAGAGTGGGCTGGATTTCCACTGGTTGGAGAGAACACAAACACTTTTATAGGAAGACAGACTTAAAAGCCATAGGACTTCTAGTACTATCTGAAGAATGAAAAAAGTCTTTCAAGAAAAATCAGCAGTGACTATTTCTGTGCAAAAGATGCTTTTCTTCCCAGATAGCAGAAGTGCATGATGTCCGAGAGAAGCATATGCTGTGAGATGGTATCGGTATCTACCCT